ATTACTATTAAAACTACAAATAACATTTTAATTACAAATAAAAACTACAAATAACATTTTAATTACTAATAAAACTACAAATAACATTTTAATTACTACTAAAAACTACAAATAACATTTTAATTACTACTTAAAACTACAAATAACATTTTAATTGCTACTAAAACTACAAATAACATTTTCGTTACTACTAATAACTACAAATAACATTTTAATTACTACTTAAAACTACAAATAACATTTTAATTGCTACTAAAACTACAAATAACATTTTGATTACTACTAAAAACTACAAATAACATTTTAATTACACTAAAAACTACAAATAACATTTTAATTACTACTAAAACTACAAATAACATTTTAATTACTATTAAAACTACAAATAACATTTTAATTACTACTAAAACTACAAATAACATTTTAATTACTATTAAAACTACAAATAACATTTTAATTACTACTAAAACTACAAATAACATTTTAATTACTATTAAAATTACAAATAACATTTTAATTACTACTAAAAACTACAAATAACATTTTAATCACTACTAAAAACTACAAATAACATTTTAATTACTACTAAAACTAAAACAATTATTAATTCTTCCTTCTACTAATTTATATATGTATATATATACTGAAACCATAGCACTAGTTTAACTAAAATGATTTATTGTAATTTTAGTTTCAAAAGTTTTTACGATAAGTACAGACAACGATACTTTCCTGCACAACAAATCTATCGTTTATCACGTGCTACGAAATATGTTAACTTTTTATAACAAGTTATACACACCTTGCGTGATTCGACGTATATGGTCCTAACATGGGATGATTATACGCGAGACAAACCAGTTGCAAAGAGGTAAGTGAAAACATTTGGTAATGCATAAAAAGTGTACCAAATCTCGTAGTTAATTATATTGTTTGTTGTTAAGCATAAGGGTACACAATGGTTTATCTGTGTTCTTCCCACTGCGGGTATCGAAACTCGATTTGTAGCGTTGCAAACCCTCAGACTTACCCCACCGAGCCATCGGGGGAGGGGGAGTAGCCTAGTTTATCAATGGAAATTTGTAAACTCATCACAAACCAAGTTTATAAAAAATGTTTTTTAAGAACAATCTCAATTCTTTGGAGCTGTTATTTCTATGATATCCTGGTTTGGCCAGGCCTAGTAGTTAAGTCAATCACTAGCAATCTGAGTGTGGAGAGTTCGAATCTCACCCTTTCAGCCTTAGAGGCGTTATAATGTGACGGTCAATCCCACTTTTCGTTGTTAAAAAAAGTAGCCCGTGAGTTGGCGGTGGGTGGTGTTGACTGTCTGTCTATCAGTACAAAATTAGGGATGGCTAGCGCAGATAGCCCTCGAGTAGCTTTGCTCGAAATTCAAAACAAACAAACAAACGATCCAATTCTGAATACCTAGGCAAATTATTAGCAGTTTAGCAGTATAATAGACTAAAGTGTGTGTTCATTACAAACCTACAATTTCTTAAGATTATCTTCACGTTCAAAATTTTATGGCCATTGCTTTCAAAATTAATTTTGTGAAAGTGTTGATCAATTGGCACTTATAGAATTGTTAGTACATATAATTCATTACATGAAGAAATAACGACAGTCAACGAAGTAAAAACGTTTGAAATTTGAGGTAATTCTATGATAACGGTTGGCAACATAGTCAGCGATGTTAAACGCCGAAAAATAGCGAGGCAATGACAATCATTTCTCTTACTGTTCCTGTACATATATCAAAGCGAAAAACAACAAACACACACACATATATATATATATATATATATATATATATATTTCATATTTCTCTTATTAAGTCCATTACAGATTTAAGATCAAAGAATAATGAAATAATGTCAGATCTTTTTCTTCTTCTTTTTTTTTGGCTCCAAGTCATTGCCTTTTGTTCAATAGCAGACAGCACTCGTCAGCTAGGCAGGACATATGACAGCCAGAATTATATCTGAAATGCTGATTGTATGCAGTGCAAAACAAGAAATGATAATGTTTTGAAGTTACATGTTGAAAGTTAGCGAAACATTGGACATTATTTAATATTTGTAAATAGATAACACACTATACTACGTATACATATGTCCGCATTCCTGCGCTAGCCGTCCCTAATTTAGCAGTGTAAGACTAGAGGGAAGGCAGCTAGTCATCACCACCCACCACCAGCTCTTGGGCTACTCTTTTACCAACGAATAGTGGGATTGACCGTCACATTATAACGCCCCCACGGCTGAAAGAGCGAGCATGTTTGGTGTGACAGGGATTCGAACCCGCGACCCTCAGATTGCGAGTCGAGCGCCCTAACCACCTGGCCATGCCGGGCCTTTAAGATGCACTCTTCACGGTTAAGCTTTTTTTTAAATCCAAGTTTTATTTTTTTGTTGCTCAAAGAAGTGTTGCAAGAGACCCTTAACAAGCTGCTTCCACAGTAAACTTACGACGGTAAAAATCGAGTTTCTATACCCGTAGTGGGCAGAACACAGATAGCCCATTGTGTGGCTTTGCGCTGAACAACAACCAAACCGAACTAAACAAGCTAGCTGGCTATTCGCCAAGATAGATGAACATACGCCAACGAGACCAGAAACTACACGGGATTTAATATAACTCATCGATATGCGTAATGTTGGAATTGAAGCTGACAACTTCGGTTTAGTGAGCAGAATTAAGGATGAAATAAAGTTAAGAGTTCGAAGAAACTGTTGAAACTCACCCTTTGATATTAAAAAACTCGACATACTCTTTCTTCTACAACTAGTAAACTTCTTCTGTTGTTTTTTTTAACGACCTCTGAGAAAAAGTAAAACTATTTCTAAGAACAAGTGCACCCTTTAGCCTCTAGCGATAATTAACTATTCACTCTTAACACTAAAAATTTGCTACAGATGTGGCTAGCATGCCCAGATTGCGAATTTCGAAGATCCTTGGTTCACGACCCTTTGCCGCAAAAAATAAAATCCCCCATGTAGATGGCACAAGAATAACCCATAGTTATCATGGGTGGTGTTCCCTCTACTTTATCAGTTCAAAATTAAGGACAGCAATGATCAGAGAGTATTGGGGAAAGAAAGGTAACAACAGTACAGACTTAATAATATAATACAAAGGCCCATAATATCCAATTGTTATGGTCAATCAAAATATTACACGTGACAGCCAATAGTGGAAAAAAAGTTAAATTCCTATCACAAAACAAAGATGCCCCCGCCAGATTCTTTTGTTTATGTCAACTACGTGGTAAATCTCGGCAGCAAAAAGTTAACCTAAAACTTTGGATTCAAATGGAGAGATAACCTTTACCTTTGTAAAGCTCGAGCACCAAGCTACGCAAGGGATCATTGTTTGCTACAATTTCACTCTGGACAACGTACAAAAGGTAAGTACAGAAGGACTTGTTGCAGTCCGTTTTTACCATTGATGGGCTTGGTCGGCACGTCGACACGGGGATCCAGGAAGTGTAGCCCGAGGAGGCGTAAAATATTTATACGTGTTGAAACTTGTAGGCCTGCATCACCTGGATTTAAATGAAAAGCCAACTAACTCGTGAAAACGTTTCTTGTTTAGTAATAATTTCGGGGGTGAGGAGGGTGCCACTCCGTATCTCCACCCGTTTTCACATTCTCCACACTAACATTGTTTTATTCCTGGCTTTCGGCAAATTACATTTAAAAGCTCGTGAAAAATAATTCATATTATAGATAAGCATATAATAAAGTATCAGAACAACGTAGATTTTCCCCAGTATCACGTACTTTGTTCGAATACTGTTTGTACAACATTCATTACCCACTCAATGCACGGTGGGAAAAAGCCAAAAAAAAAAAAGGAGAAACGCTAGATAATCACACAAAAGTATTCAACAAGTATACACAGACGCGAACACAGTGACGCTTGGATCGCGAATAAAATACGCACCTGTACCAATGTTAGCGTAGGGCGACACCGTCAATTCAAATGTCGTGTACAGGTTGCAGAGACCAATTAGTAACACAGTGCACAAAGCTATTAAAATTCAATGAATTAGACCGTGTAAAACGTTATATATGTAAGAATTAACTAACTAAAACTTTAGTGTCCTGTTAGATGAACTAACTAAAACTTTACTCTCCTGTTAGATGAACTAACTATCTAAAACTTTAGTCTCCTGTTAGATGAACTATCTAAAACTTTAGTCTCCTGTTAGAAGTAATTAACCAACTAAAATCTTAGCCTCCTGTTAGAAGTAATTAACCAACTAAAACCTTAGCCTCCTGTTAGAAGTAATTAACCAACTAAAACCTTAGCCTCCTGTTAGAAGTAATTAACCAATTAAAACTTTAGCCTCCTGTTAGAAGTAATTAACCAACTAAAACCTTAGCCTCCTGTTAGAAGTAATTAACCAACTAAAACTTTAGTCTCCTGTTAGAAGTAACTAAAATAGTTTATTTTCTATCATTATAATAGTCAATGCTTAGATTGTTTGTAGTAATTCAAAAAACGGAAACAATCTAAAAGTTTTAAAATAAATAACTTCTACATTGTATTCAAAACTATTAGATGAACACCTCTTGCAAGCAGTCTGTTGATACAAGTCTTGTTACACACGTATTTAGTTTTCTAATTTTCTTGTTTTTTCGCCACTTGATGATAGTTGTTAGCTGGTACCTCTTAGTAGTAATTGTAAATATGATAAAGATTAGAAAACTGGGTAAACATCTTACTGATACTCATACAACGCAGATTTGGAGCACAATAATTATTTGAAATCAACACTTTACCGGTTGTTCAAATCGGGTTTTGTTGCAAATGTATGTTCTTTGTTTAGTTGTGACTCCCCTCACACACACAAATGTAGGTAAATCATTAGGAGACAAAAGGTAATTTATAGGAATGATCGTATGACTAAATTTATGTGTATTGACCAACTACATCGTTCGGCTTATATTTTCGACGTCATCTAATTACATACGAAATATGTGACAAACCTAAGAACTGGTTGGTGCTTGTCGTGATCAGCGTTTTCAGATAGGAGCCGGTGCTCTGAAGTCTAAGCTGAAAGTCTGTTCTTGCTGCCTTTTTATAGCTTTCTTCCATATCCTGAGTACAGCATGATCTGTTGGACGGGCATAATTCCAAATGATCCCCTAGAACAAACACATCAAGTAGTGTGTCACCTAGATAACTAATATATACAGTAAACACTACAAGAATAAGTATTTAATATCAAAATAAAGTCGTTTGTATATGCATATCGGAGCAAGAGAAACGTGTTTATATTGAGAAAATACTTGTAAACAACAACAACAACAAATCGAATAAAGACAATAATTCACTATAGCAAGTTTAGTGCATGACAAAAATCCCAACAAAGTGTTGTTTTACGTAGAGTTCAGCCACCTGGTGGCAAAGGACGTAATGCTCATGAAATTTCTCGAAAAGCTCATGCACATATTTTGTATGGCTATTTACTTTTGGGGTAAATAACATAAAGTTCAAACAAATAAGAAATACATTTATCAACTCACACGTATATTTATATATCTACTGTAATATCATTTGAAAACAAACACCAGGATTTGCATTATAAAATTGCAAATACACATTTTAATCCCCCTACAAAAGTACAGTATTCTAAAGAACGCTGAAATAAATTTTGTTTCTTTTCTTATTCAAATTGCTGCTAATTGTTTTTTCTTTATAAATCAGATACTGCAAATTATTCATTGTTATACTAAAAAAGAGGGTGTAACAAAAATTTGCGAAATGTACAATGCCAAATGTATTTATCTGTCTAAATGAAAAATAAATTAACAATTTTAGGCCACATAGCCGTTCAGTTAGTAAAGTAACAACTAAAGAAAACTATAAATAATTTAAAGCCAGATCAAAGTATTCAATTTAACACGTTACAACCACAACATAAGGTTCTAATATATATATATATATATATTCTTCTCCATTAGTCTATACGATGCCATTAAGATGCTTTAACGTATTGAAAACAGGCCAAAGTGTTTATCATGAACAACGTCAATATAAAAAACACTATAAAAACCTCTTCTGTAGAATTAGATATGTTTATATTTGGCTCACTTTCGTAGAGAACATTAAGTGTACAGAAGGTTTGTTTCCTTTACCTTTAATCTCTCTTTCCGGTACTTGACGGGATTTGCCTATCTGTTTTATAGCGAATATTTGCCGTACGTCCGAACACGAGGCAGCATCGTTCACCGGCTCCACGTCGCCGAAGGTTTCCGCCCTTGTGTCGAGGATTTCCACCGACACTACGAGAAGCAGTGCTGCTAACAAACAGTGCGGAACAATTAAACGTAGCATGTTTAGGGTTATCAACAAACTGCTGAGCTAGACCGTCCTGGAATTGGATATCCAAGGCACGTAAAGAAATTCTATCACGAGAGAACTTATATTAGCGAAGCCAGGTGACATGAATTATCATCTCCCTTCTCTTCCACTTGCTGCGTGATTACTGCAGTCATACCGGCTTCGTAAATGTTTGGAGAAGATTTCGTTACGTCACAACAACATTTCCCTCCTCATTGGTTATCGCGAAATGCGTCATTTTACATGTTATGAAACGCTAAAATATATATTTTTTACAATAACATCCAATACTCTTTGCTATAGTGTAAGCTTTACAGCCTGATATGAATTAAATTAATATAATAAGAATCAAGAATAAATAAGCAGTTTTATTTCTATTTCTGTATTTTTTAGTTGAAATGCCTTCAATAAGAGAAAAAAAAAATGTTTGTTCGATACCAGGAACTATGATACATATTTGTTAAAATGAAAGCACATTTATTTATTTCTTGTCTCTCCGAGTGAGTTTAGCAATTAGCTAAGATAAGTGATAAGAAGTGTTATATAGTTTTCATTTGTACTTATAAAAATGCATACATATATATTTCTCCCCTCTACGCATAGAAATTCATAACGGTATTAGTAACCACGTTTTCCAAATCAAATGATCTATTCCCCTGTTTTCAATAATCTTAAATTATAAATCTAGACTTATTTCATAATTTTTATTACTTGATAAAAAAACATATAGCCTCAGCAAAAGTTCGTCGTTTACTTTTGTATGCACGTAATTAACGTGAAATGAAAAAAAAATCATCAAAAGCTGTGTCTTCATATTGGTTAAAATAAATAGACTGTTTGATGACAAGTAACCCACTTTTTAGAAAATAAACGTGTGGAGACGGTTTGACTGGGTAATTAAGAAAACTTTATTATAAATTTACGACGTTTCGACAAGACGTTTCGTCATCCTTAGTACAAGTAGCTTACTGGGTGTCTCTGTAAACTACTTGCACCTGAGGAAGATATAATTTTGTCGAACGTTGGATATTTATAATAAAGTTTTCGTCCTCAACCCGTCTCCGAACGTTTAAATATAATGTTATCTGAATTTTACATCCCCGTACAAATGAATTATACAGTAAGGTGTGTCCTTGACCCCGTATTACGTGACTGAACATTATCCAATAGAAGTTTCAGTAACAGAAAAAGTTCATTTCGTTTTTTATTATTACGGTTCGCAAAAGCGGTTGTTAATATATAAAGTATCTTACTACATGTTCCATTTTTTCAGTTGGTGACTTTATGCGTTGTTAACAATCTTAGTATTCCATACAAGGAATGATTTAATTTGGTTATTTAGGTATATATAGATGAAAGCAGCAATACAATATCAAAGAAACGACCTCTAAAGTTTAATATGGAAAACAGTCTCTCTACAAAGTTTGTTTAGTGCACCTCAAGAACTCATGAAATAAGAATTATTCAAAAAAATCTCTCTTTAGGAAATGTTATCTCTATCAAATTCAAGAACATGACAACATACGAAAACTAATGTTGCCTGCCAGAAATGGCTGCATAACTCTTTCACCAATTTGTTACTTGCATAGTAAGTTTTACATTTCGTATTCTATGCTTAAGTTATAAGCTAAGGGTCACTTATTATTACATCATTTTAATATAATATTTGAAACGTAAGATGCATTGCACATCCAGTGAAATGATGTTGATTTCCGAAGTAAATGTTGTATATCATCCATAATAATATTTACTTATAACTGAAACTGATTAGTAAGAGTAAAACAGGAAACTGATTAGTAAGCTATCTTCGTAAATTTAAACCAAATGAAACATAGAGCTTTCATGTTTCTCTTTGAACCGTTATAACTGTTCTGAAAGAAAATGTGTTTCAACTAGTCTATTCTGATTATTGTAGACTTTATTAGTAGTTTAACTAAGGTTTGCTTACACTGGACTAGAGTAGTTTTTAAGAACTTGCAATAGCAGTCAGTCTTCCTTTCGTTCCTGAAAGTTGAGTTCTGGTTAATGTCCGAAGACAAAGGAACCAAGGCTATTTGGTCATCTTATTTTCGACACCACAATTTGTTTTCTGTCAAATTGTTTTCCAATTAAGACGTTTTACTCATAACGCTGAACTTAAATCTTCGTTAGTTCTTCGTTGAATCAGTCTGCTGGAGCCTCGTTCTGGGAAAATTTCCAATCTCTGAAATCACTGCCCGATTGTTGCCCTCCACTTCCATCATACAACATTGGTTAATGATCTTATGCTGACTGTCTTTTAGTTTGTCAAACGGTGCCTGTTGTAGTTACGATGTTTTCTTTTCTTTTGCTAGAGCAACGGAAGTAAAAGTTTCTCAATGTATTTTCACATGAAGTTTGTTATGTTGTTATGTTTCGAAAATATAAACAAGGTTTCCATGTGATTATTTTGAACGTAATTTAGTCTGTAGGTTATACATTGATTGAATTGCTATTTCGTGTTTTGTCATGTCATGTGATCTTCAAATTGTACACAATTAAGCTTAGCCTGTGACTATATAGAAGTAGTTCATTTAGATATATTTTTACACGTCTTTTAGCTCTTGCGGAAGATAACGTTAATTCACAAAAATTGGGCAAAAAACTATCTCACCATTACAATTATTATTTCCTCCATCTAGTGGTCTCTTTCTTGACACTGAATCAGAAGAATCTATTCTTTAGATTTGCAAAGTTCTAATAAATGCTATGGTGCCCTTCTGCTTGATTGTATGGAGCAGAATTTATCATCTTTACAGTTTAGCCACGACAATTACTATATATATATATATGTTCAGTTGTTCTATGACTGCAAGTAGGTATGATGTAGACTGCAAGTAGGTATGATGTAGACTGCAAGTAGGTATGATGTAGTAGGTCATTTTCTAGCTTGGAGTATTCACACCATATCCATTGTTTGGGTGCCTCTAATTGTTTTTTTATTTTATTATTGATATCTTCATATGCATAATCTATGTAAATATGTTTCCAAGCTAAATATAATAATTCACAAAACAAATTAATAATTACATTACACTTTTCCTAAACTGCTCATTATTAGTGGGCGTAACATCTGCAGAATCACGTGTTTTTGTTAAGTGTCCTCTTATACTCTTTAGTTGAAAATCTGCCTTTAGATAAGGCTTCCTGAAATTTCGTATTCGTGTATAATGATAAACAGAAAACCCAGTTTGCCGTATAATGATGAAGAGGGACCGAAATTTGCTACTGATGTCAAGTTAGTTACCTTATTCTTTGATTATAGTTTATACCTAGATGAAAAATATCCCCCCCAAAAAAAGAAACAACAGCTTTTAGTACTCATAATAAGCACCCTAACTACAAATATACTTTAAACTTTTTTTAAGCATAACCCATTCTGAATTGACCTCATCGACAGTTGTTTACTAACGGCAATAACAAACACATGTTAAAGATATTAATAATACATAATTAATATAAATTTTATCAAAGCTAGAAAATATCACGTCTTATGTTTATCAAAGTCGCTACAAAAAGATACTTCAGACCATAAGAACTAATCCTGTGAATACTAAAAAGTGTGATTATACAGGTTCAGAGAGCTTTACAGCAAAGTTATGTCAAAAAACATTATTTCTGATCAAATGAAATAAATAATATCTATTAGATGGCAATTTATCACAAATCACGACAGGTACATTAAACATAATCAGCTGAAGAACGCATAACTACTTTCCTGGTGATACGTTAAAATTACGAAACCTTTATTATCTAATTATAGTTTGAGTTTATCTAAGACTCAAGTTTAGAAAAAAAACAAACATAAATAACATTCCAAATTAGTGAGGTTTTAAAAAGAGGTTATTTACTACCTTATATAGTTTAATTAGATTATCGACTAATTATTCAATACCTCTCGTTATCGTTGGTATGTGATTACGTCTGAAACAGAGATAAAAAAAATTAGAGAATTAGCAGTAACAAAGAGTTCCTACAACAAATCGTCTAATTAAATATATTGATCATTAGAATATAAATCCATTGATTAAATGATCAAGTAGATGTAACACACTCACATATATATGTATCCTTTATGTTTCTATATAAATACTATATATATATATATATTTATAATCTTTATTAGATATATACTTAAATATTCATATGTATGTACCTATATAAATGCTACTAGTAAACGGGAGCAGATAATACTGATTATTATTCTATTTTAACCATTCTGTCATTTAACACTTTAATACAATTTAAGCGTACCACCTAGCGGAATAAATGAAAACTAGATTTATTTATATTTTCTAAAAATTAATACAGAGTATAAATAAGCCACCTCACCATTTGGTAATAAAGGAATAGTTTGTTTGTAATTAAGCACAAAGTTACACAATGGGCTATCTGTGCTCTGCCCACCACGGGTATCAAACCCGGTTTCTAGCGTTGTAAGTCCGCAGACGTACCGCTGTGACACTAGGGGATAATAAAGGAATAAGTCACAATAGCTTTAAAACTTTACAACATAAAATAACTAAAGTATAAAACTTTGAAATAAAATTGCATATTACTTATATCAAGTACAATTCAGTTTTGTTTTCAACCGATACTATTTAAATTCAAATTCTCACTCAATTGTTAGTAATAATAATAATTTAAGCAGTAAAAAGGAAACACTGGAGTAAGCATTATCACATCAAACTCCCTTGTCTCTGGTAACACGTAAAATGATATATACTGTTAGATAGAATTTTTATGAAAACCAGTTCTTAATCCCTTTTTATAATTAATTAACTGGTTAACTGTGTTTGAAGTAAGGCTTTCAGGGCGATTTGGTAGCACCGAAGGCTGATTTTGAATAGGACAATCTGTATTCGTCAAAATTACACATTTAGAATATCGAACCATCAAAAAGGAAGAAATAGACAAAAAGTCTTGTAACAAACATTAATTTGTTGGTTACACAACTGAGCATTTTTAAGTATAACAAAAAATGTGATATGAAATCCATATATTTTAGAAACAGGTAGATAATCAACTGATTGATTTTTGGAGATTATATACAATTTCAAAACAGTTAATTTACAGGTTTTTACATGACATTTGCTGATGATTTTATTTTGTCACATCTCCTTTACTTCAAGGATAC